CTGTGAGTAGCACCTGAGCGCTAAGAAAAGCGGTGTGATTTTTTTTCTTTGAATTTCGTTGTGTAAAAGCGCCACGCGCGAGAAGGGAGGAGTTGGCTTGTGCTTGTTATTTATTTTTTTTTTTGCGTTTGGTGTTGCAGTTTTGAACGTGAGTCCAGTAAATAGTTCAATTATTTTAACGCAACGTCTCCGTCTCGTTCCTCGCCCCTCACAGTGAGTCCGTCCACCAGGGCGTGGACCTATCCTCCGGTCAGCGGTCCTAACAAAATTATAAATTTTGTTTGCATGGGGATCATTTGGATCTTCATTTTAAATTTTCCGAACCTGTGACAAACTGGCGTCCGCGACAGGACCTCCTGACCACGGTGACGGCTCAGTCCGTGAGGAGCGGGGGATGAGATTGAGGTCGCCTGGGCCGTAGGAAGTGCGCTGTGTGGCTGACGCCGTTGCGGGAGCTCAAAGCCAAGCTTTCCAACCGGTGGTATGGAGAAAGTCTATATCCTACGGTAAAGGGAACTAGAAGGGCCACTCGACCAAAACATGAAGCTTAAGGAGCTATTGGCCTTAGGGCAAGATTTGGGTCTCGATGAGGCTAGCCTTGAGGAGTGGTTACAAACTCAGCTAGGGACTGCTAAGGAGGACTTGGAATTAGTCCAAGACTGGGAGAGTGAACTCCTCAAAGGAGAATGAGAATCCCAAAACCGAGCAGATAAGCTTTTCGAGTACCGAACAAAAGCTGAGGCCGAAATTCGAAAGCTGGAAGAAACGTTAGAATTTTTGCGAGCCACAGACCATGAGAAGGTAAGCCTCGAGACGTCGAGGGAGAAGGCTCCGCAGGGCCTTTGGACCGAAGATGTGGACGTATTCACCAAGAAGTGGAACGTGGTGGACAAAGGACGAATGCGGGACGAAGTCTGTTGCATAGAAAGGACGATTCGACTGCTCGAGTCCGAGGAAGAAGCCCCAGAGAGGGAGCAGGGCGTGGCCCACATGGAGACCCTGACAGAGAGGGATGCTTCCGTGCCAAGGCCCCGAAAGTTGGACGAAGATGGGGTCCAGATTGAAGGGGACGGTCCGGAGAACCAGAACCCGGGCACCGGCTTCATTGAAAATACAGTCCGTCCCATGCTGACAAGAAGCGATCGCCCAAGAAGAGGCGCATCAGCTGGTCGAGGTCGTCGGGAAGTGAGGACTTGCCGGAGGTTCTGAGAATCGCTTCGGACAAGGACAAGAAAGGAACACTCCGGCCGCCCGAGCGAGAGACGTCCCGGAACGGAGCCCGCAACGAGCAAGGCGGCGGCGACAAAGACGACATCATCAAGGGGGAGCTTGCAGAGTTCAGAGCTGGCGGCAGCAAGGCAGATTCGCCCGCCAGCCAGCCGGCGACGCACAAGAACGGGAGGAGACACCTGGAGTCATGCGAAGGTCCACCGGTCGTCCAGCCGCACGGGCATCGAAAGCCGAGGTCCAAGAAGAGGACGGCGAGAGCCAATTAAAACGCGCGGGCCAAGAGAGCAAGGGAAGCGTCCTCGTTACGGAAGAGCAACAGCTTCGAGACCGAGAAAGCGTCATCTCCGAGTGTGAAGCCGACGGGGCCCCGAGAGACGACATTCAGGAGGAAGACAGAGAAAGAAAAGAACGACTCCAGTGTGAGGAGTGAAGTGATGAAGTCCAGCGGGAGTCTGCGGAAAAGGCTTCGAAGAGAAATGGCAGTCCAAGGCATCTGGCTGCTCTCAACAAGGGCAACCCGCACTAAAGACCGGAGTGCTCGCGAGCGGGACCCCGGAACAAAAGCTGCTCTGGAAGCAGCGGACTATGCGGCATTTTATGGAGGCGCAAGGACAACGGGGCATTCGAAACTAAGCAGTGCGGTGCGGAGGCCTAGGCTGGGAGGTTAGGCAGGAACCCTTTACTAGGCAGATAGAAAAAGGCCCATGAATATTTGTAAAGCGGCCTAAATGTAGCGCAGTGGTTCCTAACATGTTTTGATTTGTCACCTTAAAGTAATTGCCAGTTAATGTTGATAACTGGCATGTGGAGACCCTGCTCACGAAAATAATGGGCTACGTTCCCTTCTGGGTGCAGGCAGAGGTGTAGGCGGTTGTTCTAGGCGCCCTCTTATCCCTCGGCGATCCCGTTGTGTTACAAAAGAAAATAAGGAACGAGGGGGCTCTTTTAAAATGACTTGCCAGTACCTTTACTAAAGCATCGAGAAACGCGCGCTCCAAATTGGCCAATACAGATACAGCAGGCTTATTTATTTTATTTTTCCGTACGTACATTCTAGAGCGTAAATAAATATTGTCGCTGTCAGTGCACCACAAGATTTGGATACCGTTATGGCCGAAGAAGCCAACTAAAAGATGTTTCACACACCACCGTTTTCTTAGGTTCTCTTAAGGTACGTATAAAGGGCGATTGATACACTTGCATCGAGTCCGACCGAGTATAACTGCAACGATTTGCAACGTAAGGGTTGCTATAGCAACAGTCGCGTCGGCTCCAACAGAACGTGGTAAAAACAGGCTTTGTTGGAGCCGGCGCAGCTGTACGTCGCAAGCCGTTGCAGTTGTACACAGTCGGACTCGACGCAAGTGTGTGAATCGCATCAAATCGCCGAAACGTTCGTGTCTCAAATGTCGCGTGCCGGGCTATCAGATGTCCTGGTGAATTGTGGCTTAGCAGACGTAAGCTTTCGCAACGTAATGTAACGTAAGAAAACGGGGCTGAGTGAACCAGACCATCACGTGATGCGAACCCACTCAATTTCTCAAATAAATCAAACAGTTGTAGCGTGCGCTAACCATACGCCATGGTTCTCTGCTTTTGGAGGGTATGCCTTCAGATAGAACAACTTGTAACACGAGTTTTGAGGGCTAGTTGGTTCATAATAGACACGATTAAAATGGCGCAAACTTGACGGGGACGAAAAGAGGCACGCACGACAGGACTAGCGCTGACTTCCAACTAAGTGTATTGCATCATTCACCAAGCGATATATACTATAGCCTGCGGACATAAAAAACAAAGCGTACATTAAGATTGTACGTCTACCACGCGCCTATCTTCAGATAAAACCACCAAGAAACCATAATTTTTTGCCAACAAGAGACACTGACGGCATGCTGACGCACTTGTCTCCCGTATTTTTTTTTTTATTATAAAAAAACGCTTTTATAATTTTCCTTTCTGTCTTGTCATTGGCTCTCTTCAGGAACTTGGTCCATTTCAAAATCGGTTTACACCCACATTGTTTAACGTGCTCACCAAGATGGCCATCCAAATTGCTTCGTACCGAAAGATCATGCTGACGCGCTCTCTCATTGAAACAGCGACCCGTTTGCCCATTGCAAATGGGGCCACAGCTAAAGTGAATATATTCTAAACAACCCCACTCGTGCACTTAGTGTACATGACGGCATGTCTTTTTGCACACTGGGCACTTTAATGCCCAGTAAGTATGGGATATATCTTGAAACTTGCAAAGAACCGAGAAATGTAGATTAATGCCATATCTAACAGCTCTTTTTAAATTGTGCGATACCTTGCGAATATAATCCACAACTTGCACTCTTTTTTTTTTAGGATCTACGCCAGAGGATGTAGGCCGCGATCGCGTGTGTGACGGCATTCATTCGGCGTATATACTAAATCGTGAACCGTGCATCGCTAGGAAACTAACATTCCTGCCCCAAGACATCCACAAAGGCTGCAGTTTCCAAGCCAAGGTTTTGAGGACCTTGTATACACCCTAATCCTTCCAAGTTGCTAAGGACCTTGTACACCCTAATTTCTTTTGACAATGTTAAAAGCGGAACGGGAGGAAACGTAAAAAAAAGTAAGTTGATCACTCTGTCTAGACGTTTCTTAATTAGAACATGAGATGTATGAGCTTAACTTGCCTGGGGTGGCGGAGGTGGCTGGATGATCATCGGTGGCGGCATCATGATGGGCGCCGGAGGTAACAACGGGGGTGTTGCGATGATAACTCGCTGTTGGGGAGGAGCAAGCAGTGTCTCTATCGTAGTGCACGAATGAGCATGTCGGACCGGCGTGACCAGGTGATCGTGAACGTGCTCTGTTGAGTGAAGTGCCGTCAGCGAGCTGATCCTGCGCAACGGGCCATGAAACGAGGCTCCAGAACATATGGCTTGGTGCATGGAAGTTTGAGACGTAAGGGTGACGAAGGGATGATAGTGCATGATCGCTGGTACAGAGGCAAAACGATTGATACATGACCGAACCACTATGGGAGCCAAAGAGGAACTGAACGGCATGGCAGAATGCACGTGAAGCGATGATATCGAGGTATTATAAGCGCTCGGCATGCCAAAGGGAATTGGCGACGTTCTAGAGTCTGTGCGGACGAAGATGGTTCGAACGACCAGAGAGGAGGACGGTCCTGAAGACTCGGTCGTCTCAGTCGATTCGGACTCCTCTAAAGACGAGATCAATCGCCTTTGTCTACGGGAAGTCCTCTTCCGGCGTTCGTGGGTTCGAAAAAAGTATTTTGAAAACAAGAAGCAGATGATAATTATTAAAATGACGGAAAAGATCGAGAAAAGAAGCGTGGCCCAATAGCCTACGAGCTCAATGACAAAGCCCTTGCAAACGACATCCATGACCGAAGTTATAAGCTGAGAGACAATGAAGCACGGACCAATCACGTCGGGTTTAGATGCAGCCGAATTTTTAACATCTTGTGTCACACGTTTGACAAAACGCCTGAAGTACGAGGGCACCATCGGCACAAGCACTCGTTCAATGGAAGTCCTGGTGAGTCTAGGCATGATTCTTCGAGCCCAAAAGCTATGCCATTTGTCGTACATTCTCCTGGCAGTTCTTTGTACATTTCTGCGAGAGCGATTATCAGTGAACAACACATTTTTGATCGACAGCAAAAGGCGCTGGAAGGGGTCTTCATGGCTGGATAGCGAACCATTGACGATGGGACTCTGCTCACGAAGAGGCAGCTTTTGCAGCACCTCTTGTAGACTCACTTGTGGGACAGCAAGGCTGTGGTAATGAAAGGTGCGACCATGAGGTGGCACTGGTCCTAAGTCAAAGATTGAGACCGATTCATTTTGACATTTACTTGCGATCTCGCTGGGAATAATTTTTGACAAAAGCTGGCTTCTGTTGCCTACAGGCCACATTCTGTCGACGGCATCGTCCAGAATGGCATAATCTTTTTTCAAGTAAGGCCCGCAAAAGTGGCAATATCCGAGTGTGTTGTATACGGTTAAGTAAATCACGGTAAGGATGGCTAGAATTACAAATGCGGAGAAGACATAAGCTGTGACTATCAACATATGGCCTACGGAATTCGACACCTGACTCCGCTTCTGAGGTTTCACTGATTGGCGATGGACGGCAATGCCCGTCAGCAGACAAATTATGAGCAGTGCCAATGCCACGAAGAACAACGCCACCAAAACCAAAAGCCAAACGACTGCTTTTTCCGTTAAATATTTGTACACGCCATGATATTCCTCAAACCCTTGTAGCTTCATCTGGAGCATGTCAATGCTGGTGTACGAAGGACTCACGTCCACGTCACTGGCGTCGAGCGTCGACATCGAGTCTGCTAAAATCTCCAGGAGTTTAAGCCGATATGGCGCAGTAGTCCGGGAAACAGCCTGGACGACGTTCCTGAAGAGTTCCTCATTGTCTCTGTGAACGCGAGCACATTGGTCGCCGATTTTTCTGAATGTGACGCCCAGGCGACGATGTCCCGCTGCATTTAACACGCGGCCGAGGTAGCGGTGGTCCATCGCACAGTCCCGGGCCATGTGGTGCAAGGGCACCCTGGCGTCCTCCATCACGCTGCTGGCGATAAACTTTTCAAAGGTCCGGTCAAAATCGGGGCCAAGTACCCTGCTGACGTTATGAAAAGGTAACTGTGTTTTGCGACTCTCCGCAATTTGACCCAACGTCAAGTTCACAAAGAGTTTGAGGTTTAAGAAAGTCGAGTTGTACAAGTCGGGAGCCCATTCCTTCAGTGCAACGTTCATGGCCTCTCTCGTGATGATGAGCCAGACCAAAAACATGACGCACAGAGTAAACAGAACCGTCAAACTGATGGCATAAAACACGAAAGCCAGCATGTAGTTCTCGGTGACTCGCTGCTGGCGGCGCGCTCCACAGAGACTGGCGAGACGCATGAGGAAGATAACGACGATGACGACTATGAAAACACCCAATGCTACCCATAGATACATAATAAAGGAGCTGATAGCACTATGATTGGATTTTATGTAGTCTCTAACGGTGTCATAATCGGGACTGAATGAGGTCAACTCCAGAAGGGTGGCGTCGGTGGGGGTGTCGGCAAGGCTATCTAAGATGCCTGCACCTACGCCGGATATTAGAGGGCTGGAGCCGCCATCGGTCACGGGAAACGTTACAGAGTCGAAAATGAAACTGCCCTGGTTGTGAGCCGATGCAGACGTTGTTGTTTCAGAAGCTGCAGACGTGTTTGCCTGAGCCTGGCAGCTGCAGCCCAGCCCCCGGCAGATGAATACCACCAGGAGCAGGTACCCGCCGCTCGTTGCTGACACCATGGCTGTAGCTTCCGGTCCTGGGGAGTTCTTTACTACGCACCGTGGGAGAGGAACATAATTTCAGGACTACTGGCCCACGGGTCCGATCGTGCGCTCGTTCGATGTTTTTTTCTTCTTCACAGCAAGCGGTCTAGCGTCGCGCGGAGGACACGGGCACATAAAATAATACAGGCGTAAAAAAAAAAAAAAGTTGTCTTTGCAAGGATTTTTTTGTTCTTACACAGTTAAAAAGAGCCACCTAAAAGTTGTTGGCGAAAACAAGTATGGTTTATGGAGAGAAATATTAGTGGTCGACTTTACTTCGAAGTAGTAAGGGCAGCGAGCAATTTTCATAAAATCGTGATTCGAAAATTTTTTAAAATTTAATTTATTGTCAAAACTGCTTAGTTCCGTGCGCGGGGGAAAGAATAAAGACTATTCTCAAATTCATTAATTTGCATAAAATCATATTCGCACAAACTCCTAAACCGGCTTCCTCTTATTTTGATTCCATAAAGATCAGTGAGATTCCTGTGGTCATCATGGACTTTCCGAGCTTTTTCCATGCTACAGCCCTCTGTTTGTACCACTGATCTCTACTATAGGGGGCTGGATGGCGCTTAGCTGCTGTCCGAGCCCGGCGCGAGTGAAGCCACCGGAAGTTCGATGCTTGTCCCGGAAGTCAGGGGGTGCTGGGCTTCCTAGTGCATTCAGTCGATAATTTGGACCATGCTTTTTGGTGTCGTTGATTGGGTTTTAATAATCCCGTTCTGGATTAAATCCCGGGAATGAGGCATTTGAACTTGTGACATATTCACACTTGATCAACTAGAATCTCAAAAATTTCACATAAAATTACTTCCCATGATACTTCTCTGGTCTGCATGCGCTATTACTGTGCAACAAGCAGGCTCTCTTGAGGGAACAGGCGACAATCCAGCGCCCTCGACGCTTTTCGAACCAGAACTCGGAAGGGTTACAAAGCCTGCCAAGCGCTCACTTCCGAGACAAGCCGCTTACTTCCGGTGGCTTCATACCTGTTTGTTCAATGTAAAGCCCCTTGATAAAAGCGCTTTTTACAAGTACCGCCAACCATTGTTGTGGAAGCGCGCGAGAGACGTGCCATGAGCGGGTGCTCCGCCGCCATTCGCTTCCAAGGCCCGCTCATTTCAGTGCTGCGCCGCCATTTGCTTCCAAGGGCCGCTCGAGGCATGGGCCTCGTGCACTCGCGCATTTGACGCTACTTGCAAGACGAACGCAAACACATCGAGGGGCTTTAGTTCAATGCGCCATCCAGCCCCCTCTAGTGGAGATCAGTGGTTTGTACACTTTCTCTTCTTGTCCTCCATTTCTTTTTTTTTTTTTTTTTTTGGGGGGGGGGGGGGCATTTTTTTTTAAACGCACTTTTAAATCTTTCAGGGATCGTAAGAATGAAGGAATTCAATTTATTTGTAAATCCATAACCTTAGAACCGAAGACCGTTAAACTTCAAAGGTAACCTTACCATTTTTATTTTTCGTTATTTTGTTCTAAAGGGGCAATGCAGCAATTTTCGTACCTTCAGTAAATATCGTTTACCGTAATATCCCGCAAATAGCCCACCTAAAATCGAGAGCAAATCAGGCGAAAATGAAGATCGGCTAACGATCCGTGTAAAATAAAAAAAAGTACAAAAAACAACAATTTTTAGATCATGTTTTTCTGTCAGACATTTTATCACGGAGCGGGACAATGAAGCAAAGATGAATGTACTTACTAGTCAACAATGTTCCCCTTGCCCTCAATTGCCCTCCTATCACGTTCCACCTTCCTTTCTCTCTTCGCCTGGCGTTGCCTTCGTCTGCACCGCACATATATTGACGTAAGAAATGGCATAGTATGAACGGGCCTTAAAGGGACCTTGCAAGGACTTTTTTACTGGTTTCTAGTTTGCACCGAACCTGAGCGCATTGAGCGTAGTAACTTAATGAAACTTTTATTTTCTTAAATTCCGCTTTATTTTAAAATTTATGGGCAAATTAAAATTACAAAACAGGCATAAAATAACCTCCTTCATGACGTCCTTGGTTGCTTGAGTGGTCGTGAACTAGACGAGGGGTAGTGAGCTCAGCGAGCGCTCACGGCTGCCGCACTCCGTGTCGACGGCTCGAGAGGGCGCGATACTAAAGCATGTTCTGGATAGGCTGTATGAAGCGGGCAGCCAGGGCGGCTTGCATTGCATTTGCTGTGCGATTAAACACTAATTCGGCATGAGACTCTATTGATCAGAAACGACAGCAAACACGGGGTAAAGATCAGTTCAGAATGGGAGCCACTTCGCGCTGCCATACCGCCAAAAGACCAAACCGCAAGCCAAAGCTGCTCGCCGAAGGCCTTGGAAACGCTCGGAACCAGTCGGATCCTCCAGTCCATACGACCGCAGCGCCGCCGCGTACATCCGGGACCTTTCTACGCCCACCACTCGTTGGTGCCTGATCCCAGTACACCTTTCTAGTATGCTCCGCCTTATCAACCGCTTGGTGGCGGGTATGTCGACGGGTCATTTCTTGTTTCCGTACTTTATGAACTGCATTTGTTTATTTTCTGATCTAAAATACTGAACAAAAACTAATTTTATAGATAATTGAAACGGTTCGGGGGCGATACTTATAGGTGACATTCACTTGACGTCACTCGCTAGGTTCGCTGCCATCGCCCACCACGGTCGCCATCTTCGAGGTCTCTTGCTATCGCGAATGCCATATGGCCGGACCTTTTGAGCGTGGTTTAGCAGGATCTTACAACTTTAAAGGGTCTTTTTGATCGAAACTAGGTGTTATTCTTATACTTTGGTACTTTTGAAGCGCCTTGGGAGTATTTTTTTGTGTGTTTTAGTTCGTTTTTGTCGCTATCGAACTTGTTTACCGCGGCCGCGTTGCTCCCTCGGCTCCATGAAGCGCTCCGTGTCGCCCGCCGTGCCGACGGCGGTAGCTCTTGCAAGAACTAATTTTTCTACTTTGGTGCTTTTGTAGCACGGTGTGATTACTCTTTGTTTTGTTTTGCTAGTTTCTTTATTGTTTTTCTCTAGCAGATTTTCAATACTACGGCCGTGTAACCGTGTTGCTCCATCGCCGCTGTGTCGTACATACGTCGTGCCTTCGGGGTTCGTTCCTAGGCAGAAACATACCGTGCGGCTCACAGAGTGCGCAGCTTATGAAAAATGCATCGCATTTTTCATTAGCCAAAGCGATTTAAAAACCGCATGTAAGCGATTTCGCGAGCGGGAAGACAAGCGACGGCGACCCGCTTCGCTGCCGCTCGGTCACTCGCGCGACGAGGCAAACCGCATGAAAGCGACGGGAGCACACGACCAAGGCGATGAGCGCTATGTTTTCTAGAATGCCTTCATGCGGTTTGCCACGTCGCGCGAGTGACCAAGCTACAGCGAGGCGGGTCGTCGTCGCTTGTCTCGTCGCTGTCGCTCGTCTCGTCCCGTCGCTCGCCAAATTGCTTACATGCGGTTCAGCCTTTACACACGGTACTCGGCGGCAACAAGGAAAACGGCAAGCCCCCGAGACCAACTTTTCTTCTCTCTTCTGTTCAACGAAGCTTCAAAGATATGAAATTAGCACACACTAGCAGCGGACGACCGCGTAGCGTATTCAAGCCAGTCAAACCGAGACCTCGAAGATGGCGGATCGACGGTGGCGCTCCCTGGCAAAATCGAACCTGCAGGCTCAGTGAATACCACCTATATTTTGTATCTCGACCAGGGTGTAAGATAGACAGGTGGGGAAACGAGAGCCAAATCGACCGCATTGTGTCCCCCTCGGCTTTCTTTTTTTTCTGTGGCGCCATCTATGTGGAGCACCGCGAACTCTCACTCCGAATGGGCGACCGGTGGCGACCGGCTAAAGTAACGGAGATGGTTTCTCGTCGATTTTCAATGAAGGAATGTCGTGCTCTCGGTTTATTTTGTGCGCTCTCCCATCGAGTTCAATGCAAATCCGATTCCGACTTTTTTTTCCTCTCGCCGCAGCGCCATCTGTCGCAAATCGGGGGTACCCGCAAGCAGACGAGTACACAATCCGGTCACGGCGCTGCGTTAGGCTTCTATGGGCCGTTTTCCCACCTGTCTATCTTACACCCTGATCTCGACTAAAAAAATAAAAGCCGTTTAAAATCCCTGTAACGCCGAATTGGAGCGCAGCTCTTGAGGAGGAGTAGGGAAGGGTACTGAGGGGGGTCACGTCACCTGCGGGTAGTCACGTGACCCCGAGGGGGTCACGTGGTCTCGGGGGAGGGGGGTCACGTGACCTCGGGGGATCACGTGACCTGGGGGGGGGGGGTCACGTGACCTCGGGGTGGGGGGGGGGGGGCACGTAACTACCCGCAGTAGTAAGCCCAGGACCTGTAGTAAGCCCAGGACCAAAGACGTCACATATCGCGCGCTTTAGGCAACACGGGTCGCCCCCGTAGGTGGAGGTGGTTTCCGCGTCGTCCGGTTAAAATATGATGGACTGATATTTAGTTACTCTCTCCGTGCCAGGTTGTTTCTTTTTGTGTAAACCGAAACCGAAACTAACTCAAGCAACGTTTCCTTCTGTTTGCGTGTGTGTGCGTGCATGCGCGTGCGTGTGTTTGTACGCGCGCGTGTGGATGCGTCCGCGTGCTTGCGTGTGTGCGTTTCTGCTTGTGCGTGCGTGTGCGTCTGAGCGCGGGCGTGTGTTTGCGCGCGTGCATGCGTGTGTACGTGCGTGCGCGCGTGTATGTGTGTGACTGTGAGCGCGCAAGCGTCTGTTTGTGCGTTCTATTGCACTGCGCCAGCAAGAAGACCAATTGGATGTTCCTGGACACTGTTAAAACACTAACTTATTGATTATTATTACTATCAATGTTATTGAAACATAGCCCTCAGTCTTTCTATAGACGGGAAAAGAAAATTAATTGGTTCCCAGTCTTTAGACACAGGGCCCTAAACTTTTCTATAGCTGGCTGTAACTGTATTTATAAATTTCTAAGGCTGACCATGCAAAGCTACA